TATCTCTGCAAGATCTCAGTATTTCTCTGATATCTGAAGCTCAGTTTTCATGATCACAAGATTCTCAGACACTTATAAAGTTATTATATAGATAAGCTTATCTTCTCTAATTAACTCTGCAGTATCAACTAATTCTATCTCTGTAAGTAAGTCTGTCAACACTGATCAGAAGTATAAACCTGACTCATAGACAGCTATGTACAGATTGTGTCTTTGAAGTTATACAAGTTTTAAGTACATATCATCTGTGATATTTACAATAATCACAGTTTTTACAAATCTTCTTCAGATTTCAGAGAGATCTTGTAATTCAAAGATAATTCTCATAAGTCTCTCAGCTCTCAGATCTGAGTTCTCATACTCTGCTTATTATAAGAGTAAATTCTCAGTCTTCATCTTTCAGCTTATACACTTTGCAAGCTTTAGAGATATTACAGTGACCTGAGATTCTGAGTTCATCAATGCTTCTTATACTTATAGAGCAGCAGCACTGCAGTACAGTCTCTCTCTATAAGTAAGTATTTTCATTAAGAAAGTAACAGATTCAGATATTAACTTCAAGACTCTTAAGAAGACTGTTACTGACTCTGTTCACAACTTCTCAAATTCTTATTTTAATTTATTCAGACAGTTTGTGTGAAGATGTTCTGATTTAGAACAGATAAAGCAGAGTTTCTTTTTCTTAATCTTTCTGTTATACACTCTGTTCACAGAAGCTTATAAAGCTCTCTCTCTCTACTCAGTAGTCAGATATGAATCTCTCTGTGTCTTATTATCTTTTTCTGATAAATCTGTTCTCTGTTGTTCTGACTCTTATAGAACTAATCAGTGATTCACTCTTCACAGATCTGTGACTCTCACAGTGATCTGTAAGCAGTGAATAAGAGTCATCAGTTTCTTCAGAATCAAGAGCTTAGAGTCTTACTCAATGAGCTTGTTCTACATATCTTTATTCAGCTTCTTTATAAATATCATCATTCAGATCTTGTTTCAGAGCTCTGTTTTCACAGATTTCAATTCATATTATAATTTTATAAAGTATCATGAGTAGTCTTTATCAGATTTCTTATCTCTTTTTCTAATATTGATGATTACAGCTCAGATATTCTCTGTTCAGCTCACAGAGTTCTTTAACTTATTCTCTAGATAGGTCTTGAGAACAGATCAGTGAGATCTCTTATAATTATTCTCTAGATAATTCAGTCAGTTCTTGACTTCAGTGTAATAGAGATCTATTATTATATAGATAACAGCTTCTTCATCTTTTATATCACATAACCAGGCTTATAAGTTAATTTTAAATACAAACTCATAAAAGCTTTTATAGATTGTGATTTAATAAGTGGTCTTAAGTAATTACAGCTTAAGAAAGTTTCTTTTCAGTTTATAGATGTCTCTGAAGATCATATCTAGAGACTCAGTTCAAGAGTGTTTACAGACAGTAAGCATTTCTTGTAGAAAAATAGCTTGATTCTGTAAGAGATACTCAAGAATGTTCTTCACTGAGATTGATTCATTCATGAGTTTAGAGAGTTTCTCTATCACAGATATAGAGAATGATGTTCTGTAAGTAATTGATAAGTTCTCTGAGACTTCTTTTACAGAGATTATTCATAATTCAGATGACTGCTTCTGAGTGTCTGCAGTAGAGTTCACAGAAATTGAAGTATACAAGTTTCTAGTTCTTTCAGTCATAATAGACAGTTACTGACTGACTGAGCTTGAAATATAAGAATAAGTGCTCACAGACAATTATTCAGATGTTTGCAGCTTAGTATAATATATACTGTTAACTACTAGAAGTATTCACAGTAGAAAGATAAAATGTAGAAATCAAATGTATAATAGCATTCAAGCTGAGTTATGAATAGTATTCATGAACTTCAGTCTATATAGTTGTGTGTAGCCAAGGGCCGCTAGCCCTATTGATTATATGAGAGATAGAAATAGAGGTAAAGAATCCGTGAGAAGCGGGATTTCTTACACTTTATTTAATCTCTTTATAAATATCATCATTCTGATCTTATTTCAGAGCTCTGTTTTCACAGATCTCAGTTCATATTATAATTTTATAAAGTACTGTGAGTAGTCTTTATTAGATTTCTTATCTCTTTTTCTAATATTAATGATTATAGTTCAGATGTTCTCTATTCAGCTTATAAAGTTTCTTAACTTATTCTCTAAATAGATCTTGAGAATAGATTAGTAGAATCTCTTATAATTATTCTCTAAATAATTCAGTCAGTTCTTGACTTTAATATAATAAAGATCTATTACTATATAAATAATAGCTTCTTCATCTTTTATATTACACAGTCAGACTTATAAGTTAATTTTAAATACAAACTTATAAAAGCTTTTATAGATTATAATTCAGTAGATAATCTTAAGTAATTACAGCTTAAGAAAGTTTCTTTTTAATTCACAGATATCTCTGAAGATTATATCTAGAGACTTAGTTTAAGAGTGTTTACAGATAGTAAGTTTTTCTTATAGAAAAATAGTCTAGTTCTGTAAAAGATACTCAAGAATATTCTTTACTAAGATTGATTTATTTATAAGTTTAAAGAGTTTCTCTGTTATAGATATAGAGAATAATATTCTATAAGTAATTAATAAGTTCTCTGAGACTTCTTTTATAAGAATTATTCATGATTCAGATAACTGCTTCTGAGTGTCTGTAGTAAAGTTTACAGAGATTAAAGTATATAAGTTTCTAGTTCTTTCAGTTATAATGAGCAGTTGCTGACTGACAGAGTTTAAAATATAAGAATAAGTACTTACAGATGATTATTCAGATATTTACAGCTTGATATAATATATACTGATAGCTACTAGAAGTATTTACAGTAGAAAGATAAATATAGAGATTAAATATATAATAGTATTTAAGCTGAGTTATGAATAGTATTCATGAACTTCAGTCTATATAGTTATGTATAGTCAAGGGCTGCTAACTCTATTGATTACATGAGAGATAAAAATAGAGGTAAAGAATTCATAAGAAGCGGGATTTCTTACACTCTATATTTCTGAGATGAAAAGTTATTATTATATGTATTTAATTGTCACTTCTTTCTATTTTCTATGTTCTTATTATCTTGATATAATCTTAACACCTGTATTTTCTTCTGTATAATTAACACTTGACCTGTATTTAATATCATGTAAGAACTCATTATAAGCTTCGCTTGTATATAAGTATAATAAAAGAATAATAATAATAATAATAATAATACTAGAAACATTCTGAGAATTAAATGTTATCAGATAAATAATATAATCTCTGACTATATATATTTATAATTAAAGAATAATAATAATAATATTCAGTTATTTTTACTAACTTTAATTACTCAGTCTACAAGCAGATTTTTTACTATAAAATCTAATATAACTTGATTTTAAGAATGAGTATAAAGAGTAAAGCTTATTCTGTTAAATTGACTGATTCAATCACAGACATTTATTCTCTATTTTCAGATTGAGTAAAAGATACTTTTTCTACTCTTTTAAATCTAGTTATTATCAAAACTCAACTTTATTAAAGTTATAAATATTCTCCGATAAAATCTTATACTTTTTAATAATATTTTTCACTTTTTTTAACTACTTTTATATAATTTCTGAGTAGAGTTTATTCTGTTAAACTAACTGATTTAATCACAGTTATTCATTCTCTATTTTCAAACTGAATAAGAGATGTTTTTTCTGCTTTTTCAGATTTAATTATTATTAAAACTGATAAGATAACTCTTATAAAAAACTTAACTTTATCAAAGTTATAGATATTCTTTGATAAAATTTCATACTTTTTAATGATATTTTTCATCACTTTTAACTACTTTTATATGATTTCTGAGTTTTTATATCAGACTCTTTGATAATCATATTCATATATCAGCTTGATAGTAAGTATAGAATAGAGTTTAATAAAGCAGGTAAGTTAATTAATTTCTATAATATCAGATAAGCTTGTTTCAGAGATTTTAAGTCACTAATTAATTATATTTTATACATGTGAAATTTGAGAGAGTAGTTCTCACTTATTTATAAATATTACTTATTGAACTAAAGTTTCTTTTTCAGTAAAAGTCAGCTTTTAATTCTTTTGTTGAGAATTTGTATACATAGTTCAGCTATGTAATTAGTAGAATAGACTGAATAAAGAAATATTATATATCTTAACAATAGTTTACAAACTAGAAATTTGCTCAGTTTTATAAGTATTAATAACTAAAAGAAGTCTTTCTTATTAATAAAAGACTTAATCTTTTATTTTTATAAATATATTAAATATTTAGTAAATGAGATTAATTGAGATTAGACTGACTATATAATTATATCTGAGATCAGAATTAGAATATTTAATAGTCTTATTATTAATTTAATTAATCTCATTATATAATTTTAAAATTAAATAGTAATTTCATATTATCTTAGTAAGACTTACTATTTACTCTTATTACATTTTTTAAATAAGATTATAATTTTCACTTCTCAATTTAAATTCATTTTATTACTTTAAATGACTTTAGATCTTATTTAAGTATTATCAAAAATTATTACTTTTTAAAAAATTAAAAATATTTTAAAAAGAATCTTAAAATGTCTAAAAAGAGTAACTTTATACTAAGAATAAGACTAAATGAAATTAAATGAAATCACTTTCTTATTTTTTCTAAGTCATAGTTTCATTTTGAGATCTGATAAATAGTCACTTTGCATGTTTTTTTGATGATTAGTCCCAGCAGGATTCACACCAAGAAATGTATGGGACCAGATCAAATGGGACCAAATATGAAATTCATGGTCCCGGCGGCCAGTCTAATTGGGATAGAAGGGTGTTTCATTAGGTGTTTGTTCCGTTAAGTGGTGAATTACGTTATAAGAAAAATTATTACTATAAAAGATAATTGCACAGTCTCTCTATTATTTTTCAATTAATGAGCAAACTGAAAAGAAAGTTTTGAAAGCTGATATTGAAAACTGTAAATAAGGTTAATTATCAGTAGAATTAGCTACGCAGTGTAATATTACTATTCAATAAGATATTAATAGTATTATCTCATAAAGTATGTACTGTATATGCCCCTATACATGCATGGGACTAGGTATCTTGACACTACATAACTACAGGCTCAAAGCAGGATAAAGACAACAGCAAGAGTGTACGGTACATGTAATAGGTGCCGGCAGGCTACCACCTATACTCAAGTTTAGAAGGATGGTCCACCCACAACTTCCATGAACGGAGGTTCTAAGATAGTTCGTAAGGTGGGTTTCGCCGACGCCTCTGGAGCGACCAGGGTACGTAGCTTTCCTCGGATTGTATTCATGGGAGTTCACGATATATCATGAGGGCGCAGAGTTGCGTTACTTTTACAAGGAGAGCGATACCGAAGCTAAACACCTCAACCGTCAACGAAAACATGTTCCAAACTCGCATCCACCTTGGGCAATAATTCCGAGAGTTTATTGGGGTCTCGCATTATAGCCGGAATATCTTCCCTCGAGCTTACTAGGCGCTACGCTATCCGTTAGCTAAGTGCATCAAATTTGGTATCTCGTGTACTTAGAAATGAGCCCATACCTGTCGCACTTCATCATATTTCTCTTCCTTTGCCTGATACTCCCGAATTACTTCCCGCGTTTCAAAATCGACATATATTCTAGTATCCCTTAGGCGAACCAGTACATTATCTAACCGCATGAAAAACCGGGACAAAAGGAGTAGGCGAGAAGGCATGACACGTATCTTGCACGATAACATGGCAATACCATTATCCGCCAGCTCATCTTCATATAGCATAACTTCGTCGAAAAAGAGGATGGGATCTGGTCGTTTTAGGAGTTCAATGGGAATCGGGGATGATGAATTTTCGAATGGTTTTCCGCCTGGAGAAAGTGTCCCTTTATAATTTGTGCTATAGGACCAATCAAATGGTTTGACTACCTCTTTAATCCCTTGATGACTGTTTTCTCTAAGCAAGGAAAAGCGAACAATTTAGCGTCTGAGTCAACATCGCATCATTTTACAGACTTCATATTTTTGTCGGTATTCACCTGCTCTGCTGCCACTCCTTTGAATAAGCCACTTTCAGCATAGTCTCCCCACTTTTGTCGACACGGTCCAAGGCATCAAAAGCGTTGAAATCTAGTTTCCATCCCGAGGGCTGGTGCTCGATTGTGACGTGGTTGTCGCCAAATATCATCTCTGGAGGTGCAATGCCAAGTTTCGTAGTCATCTCATCGATTGGGCCGGCTTTGAGTATTGGTAGTTTTTGGGTAGTTATTTTGAAGCCATGTCTTGTAATCGAATTGTCCCTGGGGGTAGTGGCAGAGGGAAACTGCGTATCCTGGTGTGCGTCGTTGGAGGCCATTATGGGATGCGCCGGAGGCAGTGTGTTCGTCAATGTACCCAAAGTTTGATTGTGGTGACCAACTAGTCAGTTAGTTGTGTATCACCGACCAAGGCTAAAGCATATATGAGAGCCCAAAAAAAGTTCAATGCTTTAATTTGGCTGTACTCGACTGCAAATATTTCCGCATTGTTGCTTCAAGACGATCCATCCATAATAGATTGTTCTTCACGCAGGGTTTGTAATTTGGTTGGATCTGCCCGCAGAACGCCAAGAAAGCCAGGGACTATCGGATTAATATTGATCCGGAGTTGCTGTGGTGACCGTTGGCCCTATTACGGAGTAAATAAAGACGGAGGTGGCCTTGATGAATGTCAAATTCCTCCAACCTGCATTGCACAGCAGATATACGGATTAACCAGGAACAGAGACCATTTTATTTTCACTCTGAGGAGAGCTTTTAATTTATCTCCCTTCTTCAAATACCTCATATTGCTTCCACCTTCCACCACAAATGTCGAAGACCCTCGAAGCTCGGTTTGAGCATCTCTCCGTCAATGATGAGAATGAACCTCTCAGCAACAGCACATACTACCAGAAACAAAAAGTAAATTTCCTGATACACATACACACATATATATATATACATATAATCAATGCTATGAGAATACTTGTCTAATACCACAAGAAGGGCCCACACACAGCCTCAACTTCAGCGACACAGCTTACCAGCAACCCAAACCGCTCAAATTTGCTAAAATATGCTCTTCAAAATAGCAATGGCTCCTCTCCCCGCAAACCCCAAGGAACAGTCAATCTGGTATCTTCCTCCTATAACTCCACTGAAGAAAGTACAGCGGTCAGCCGGACTTCCATCCCGTTCTACGAGCAGCCAAGCGCCCCAAAGAAATTCCACCTGGGAATGTTCGAAATTGGAAAACCTCTCGGGAAGGGCAAGTTTGGTCGAGTATACCTTGCTAGAGAACGATCAACTGGCTTCGTTTGTGCTCTGAAAGTCTTGCACAAGAGCGAGCTGGTCCAGGGCAAAGTCGAGAAGCAATTACGACGAGAAATCGAAATCCAAAGCAATCTGAGACATCCCAATATATTACGCTTATATGGTCATTTCCATGATAGTAAACGGGTGTTTCTGATTCTCGAGTTTGCAGGCAATGGAGAACTGTACAAACACCTGAGAAAGGAAAACCGATTCCCAGAGTGGAAGGCTGCGCAATATATCGCCCAGATGGCTGCTGCATTGAAATACCTGCACAAAAAGCACGTCATGCACCGTGATATCAAGCCAGAGAACATCCTTGTGGGCATCCATGGCGAAATCAAGATAAGCGACTTTGGCTGGAGCGTACATGCTCCAAATAACAGAAGAAATACCATGTGCGGCACTTTGGACTACCTGCCTCCGGAAATGCTTAGGCCTGGGTTACAGGACAATTATTATAACGAGAAAATCGATCTATGGAGCTTAGGTGTGCTTACGTACGAGTTCCTGGTTGGCGAGGCCCCGTTTGAAGACACGCCAATTATGACACGGCGGCGGATTGCTAGGGGTGAGATGAAAGTGCCGTCGTTTGTGAGCGCGGAGGCTAGGGATCTTATCAAGAAGGTTGGTTGGTCTGGCATGCATTCTGCTAATTGGAAGTTTCTTTATTGGCCTCACTAACCTTCAAATAGTTATTGGTTCTTGACCCAGAACAGCGAATTCCTCTGGACGAAGTTCAGCAGCATCCCTGGATCATTAAACATTGCGTCAAAGGCGAGAGGGCAGCGAAGCGAAGCTCAGGCAACAAAAGTTATAGAGAGTAGATTTGCCTGCCTGTAACCTTGTGTGTTTTGAACATTTCTAGCATGGGTTTAGTAGTGGGTGCTATCGTTTATCGAGCGGGTGTATGGAGTATGGTTGATTGTCCATTTTGCTTAACTTTGGAGTACAGGATCGGACACATGGCAATGATTGCACATGGATCATTGTTTTTGGGGCTACAGTAGCTTCTTTCAAGTTTTCGATCGTTTCGTCAGTTAATTGAGTGGTCTATCAGAGTATCAAAGAATGAATCATTCCAAAATAAAAACGCCGCTCTCCCCTGCCAGACGGTCTAGTTCAAACAGTCGTACCGATACCCATATAATGTACTGTACATATGTATGATAATAAAAAAACGAAAAAAAAGGGGGAAATTCCAGAAAACACCCTACAAATTTCTTTCTCTTTTCCTTTCTTATCGATAAATCTCATCGAAAGGGCGGGTATCTCGGAAACAGCTATCCCAAACCTCATCCACGACCTGTCTCGCGTGCTCCGCATCCTTACAAGCCGGCCGCGCCATGACTGACAAGGCAGCACGTCGCCGCACACACTCCTGATGCTGTTGAGTTAGTTTCCATTGGCCGCGGCGGAAGAACTCTCGGGCCCATCTACATTCTCCGCTTAATGAGCTTGCCCGGATCTACACGAACCAACAAACGGTTAGACTATGTTTTAATATCTGATATCTTGAATGAGAATCTTGGGAGATCGGACATGGAGAATGATAAGAGGCGAAATATAAACGAACCTCAGTGCAAGCAGCGTGTCTCAAATTGTCTGTCCAGTTCAACTTGAACCGTAAATGATCGTAGGCATGCATCATCTCATGTGCCATTGTATCCTCTAGATGTCCCTGGTCCTTCATTGCATTTGCGCATATCCGGATACCGTACTCCGGGTCGAAGCCGCCGGCTTGTCGTTGCGTGCAGCGTCGGCAATGGATGTTGTGGCTAGATATATCGCCGCCCAGTTGCTTTATGTTATCTTGGAGAAAGCGGATGATGGGACCTGGATGAAAATGAGATACAGTGTAAGCACTGAACAACGATGGAAAGTAATGGGGACAGGCACACGCAAAGTTTCCGCAGTTTACAGCAGAGACAAACATACTGTATTTTATAAGATAATCACGCTGATCCTCACAGCGTTTACAATCAATTTCTTCATTTCGGATATCCCGCGCAAGTAAAAATTGATCCTTTCCCTCTTCCGTCATTTTACCTGTCAGAATCGAGAACATGTTCTTCATTTGGGTCCAAGTGTCATCCCCTGGTGTGTAGCCAGTGTCTGTAGGTGGCGCCGGGGTGCTAGTCCCGGCACCTGATGAGTTCGTATCCGCCATTTGCTGCACAGTATAAATTTATCGACCTGCCGTGGACCTGCTCTACACCTGGTGATGTCAATAAAGAATTCCTAGCCGGAATATCATACGTGAAGGCGTAATGAGATCTGCCCGAGAACGGTGAGGGACGGCAGAACATCTGCCTTTCAGAAACTCGAGAATAAAATACAGTTAAATTATACCAAGGCAAATTAATGGAGACGATAAACTATCCCGGCGCCCTATGATGGGACCCACGGACAACGACCAGTAGGTGTTTTATTTGCACCCGGGATCCTGGATTCGTTTTCAGAACCTCCCTCTTCTCCTGGAAGGGGCCCTCATGGATATGAGAGTCCGACTTCCAGGCGAGGAGAATCAACTACCGACGGTGACAATACCGGCAAGATGAAGGGCCACAGAGCATTCACGATTGTGATTAAATTGGGTGCGTACCTTTTTGAAACAGACAAGCCAGTTGGTATAGCTGTCCTTATTTTTCTCGACTAAGCAACTAATTTTTATTGTTTTAAATGAAAAGGGACGAGTTCAATCGTTGACGAAATTACCCATGAACCCATTCTGTCCATTTTAACACTTATCGTCGAGACCACAGCAAAACTCCTAAGAGATGGGCACCGAGTCATCATTGTCTCTTCAGGTGCTGTCGGGGTTGGATTGCGTAGGATGGATGTTGACACTCGGCCAACACATCTTCCTCGAATACAGGTTCGCATCACAGCAGTATATACTAATACTCAAACGAACCAGTAGCTGTTAACATCGGCTAACCTTAGCTCTAGGCTTTGGCGGCTGTTGGACAATGCAGACTGATGAGTCTATGGGATAGTTTGTTCGCCCATCTGCGACAACCCGTGGCTCAGATTTTGTTGACGAGGAATGACATTGCGGACGTGAGTGCGTCCCGTTGGCATACAATACAACAGGGACCAGGAAACTGGACGATTACGAAGTCTGACCGTGGTAATATATAATACAGACAACCCAATATCGCAATGCGCAAAATACCCTTACGGAGCTCTTGAATATGGGAGTGGTTCCGATTGTGAATGAAAATGATACTTTGGCGGTTTCGGTAGGTGGTGTTATGATCGACACTGGATGGATGGAGGGGAATTACCACAACGGAATGCTTATTTTTGACGTAACCCTGACTAGGAAATTAAATTCGGTGACAATGACACGTTATCTGCCATCACCGCTGGTATGGTTGGAGCAGATTATCTGTTCTTAATGACGGATGTCGACGGCTTATACACATCGAATCCCCGCACCAACCCGGACGCACAGGTAATTGAGGTGGTGTCGGACATCTCCAGCCTCACAGCCGACGTATCTTCCGCAGGCTCTTCATTGGGAACAGGCGGGATGAGCACGAAAATAGTCGCGGCACGCCTAGCAACAAGTGCTGGTGTCACGACCATAATAACCCGTAGCTCACAGCCAGGCAACGTCCTAGCAATCATCAGACACCTCCAACATAACACACAGAACTGGTCATCAACAACACCCACCATAAATGAAAAGCCCGTCTCTCCACCAACATCAACACCTCCATCTCCATCCTTAGCAAAAGCAACGTTGCCAGCACATACTCGCTTCATCCCCTCGACCACCCCGATCCACTCCCGCTCATTCTGGCTTTTGCACGGACTCTCCCCCCACGGCACTGTCTACATTGATGCAGGTGCCTACGCCGCCATCTTAAACAAAGCCGGCCTGCTCCCCGCAGGCGTCGTAGGCGTTGAGGGTCACTTCGGCCAGCAAGAAGCCGTGCGGATCGTCGTCGTCGAGCGACGCTCAACCTCCGCCGCTGCCCTCAACGGCGATTTCCCGCTTCAAGGCGCGTCACCGCGGGAAGTCGGGCGGGCGTTGGTGAATTACGGCAGCAATGAGATTGCGCGCATCAAGGGCCTGCGGAGTACACAGATCCTACCCGTGCTCGGGTATGCGGACAGCGAGTATGTGGCGCTGAGGCAGAATATTGCGTTCTTCGGAATGTCGGAAAGGGCAAGTCGGCCTACAACGCCTGCGCTGGAAGATGAGTTCCGGGTTCTCAGTGGGGCGTCCCCGCGGGCGGTTTGATTTTGTTATTTCTCTTCTCCTTGTTGACGTGGGGCTGGAGTTTGGGTTGGTTAGAAGATCCCCCCCTTTTTTTTTCATTCCCGATGCTTTCAACATACATTCACGTAGAAAATAGGGGCTGCGTTGGCACTGGGTGGAGGTGGAGGTTGAAGTCGCCCATGTCTTTCCTTTCCCCAGCATATTAAATTATTCCCCATAAAAATTCTTTTGGGATATATGCCAGGTAACCGATAGCACAACTGGACGTCCAACCCTAACAATGGACATAAAATATGGGAGGAGTCTTTTTATCTTTTTACTTTTTGTGTTGCTAAGTAGTATTCCATATAGCTCACTATCTATCTATCCACGATATAAATTTAGAATCAAATCATTCGTTCAAATAGAGCATATAAATCGCTTGTGCTAAAACAACATGCACTAAATAATACATTAACTGACTGAACAAAGGCATGATTTTCTTTAAGGAAGGGATGGAAGGGGAATAGGCTAGAAATCACAAAATATACAACATAACGGTTTCCGCCCCTTGAGATTTCATATCTCAAATCAAACGAACTCCTCATACGTCAATGTTACCTATCTAGGATAACGTAAGGCATAAACCATAAACCATAACACAACCATAACCAAGGGCTGCCTGGTCAAACTAAAGAGAAAACAGACGAGGAAAGAAAAACTAAGGAAAGAGAGAAACCAATAAAGGCAGGAGAAGCAAAAGAAGTGGATCCCATGTCCGATGTTAATCTTTCCACCTGTTCAAGAATTTCTGCATATCGTCCTCAACTGGCGCAGGCGCTGCCTATTTGACGCCACGAACACGAACCAAACACATCAGCAACAAGAACAGAGAACTACTGAGAAATGTGTATAGATATTCAATTAGGATCACCCACCGTATTCTCAATACTAGACACCTTGAACGTCGCTTTCACAGCAATCGTCATCTGGATAGTAGGCGTGGGTAAGAAGGTCGTTGCAATCTGAAAGGAACTTGGAGGAAATAACGGAGGAGCACCCCTGAGGGATATTTTTGTCGGGGGCTGCGTGGGCATCGGCGCATAGCGCGTTAACCCCGTTTGCTCCGCATAAGGTAAACCTGCCTGTCGCTTGCGCAGTTCATTGCCGTGAATGGGCGGGCTGTCCGTAGTTCCGGAGATGGCCTGGATTCCATCTAGCAATCTGGCTGGCAAGCTGCCAGTCATGCCTGAGAGGGTGAAGCGCGCGGAGTGGACGAGGTCAAGACCGTCGGGGTTGTTTATGACCATTTGGAGGAAACTGTCGGGGGATTTATAGACTGGTTAGTTGGGGTTCATACGTTTATATAAATTGAAACCGTTTATGTGCGGTGTGAAGGGCATTATTCACTATGCATTGGGCTCGTTTCCGCCAATTTCAAGAGCGATGGGCGCTGATATTGAGTTCCCTTCGCCAAAATTTCTGTCTTTCGCTATGTGCATTAATTGGTCCTATGTTATAAGAAGGTAATAGGGTTAGAAAATAAGAAGAAAAAGAAGAACTGAATTTAACAAGTCAGGAAATATAGCATCCATCCATACAAAGGAATCTTCGTCGTTCCCGCCAGCGCAAAGGAAAATATCAAATCGCACAGCATCGGGAATTTCAGAGCTATTCCCTACTTGTTGCCATTCCACGTTCAGAGTGTCCCCGGCTTTCAGGATAGTTCCAGCAACCGGTGCTGTAAACTCAATTGCGGCGGAGGCGGAAAGGACAAGCTGGGCGAGTGGCAGAAGTATCCGAGGCCTCATTATTGGAGTGAAACGCTGTATACTAACTTACAGGAGAAACGAGGGAAAAGAGAGTAAAGTTGCAGACTTGAAAAAGGGTTAATCGAAGTCTTTTTGCAGCTGAGAATGGCAATTGAGTGGTCTATGCCATCTTGACAAATATGCTGGTCAGTTAGGTGGAAGGAAGGTCAAGCAAGAGAAGAGAGAAGAGGAGAGAGACATCTGATGTCATCATCAAACTGTATCAGAACCATACCGGAAAAACGTAGACTTAACATACGACCGGATTATGGTTGTTCCGCTGTGCCAGTCAGCGACACCATTGCTGAACTTTATTATTATTATTATTATTCTTCCATTATACTCATATGCAAGCGGAGCTTATGATGAGTCCTTGCGTGATGTTAAATACAGGCCAAGTGTTGGTTATACAGGAGGAAATACAGGTGTTGAGACCATGCCAAGATAACAAGAACATAGGAAATACAAAGGAGTGACAATTAGATACATGCGATAATAACTTCCCAGCCCAGGAACATAGAGTGATTTTATTGAAGCAATTTGTACACCTCTGTATTTATTAGGAACCTGAGGTGCTTGAGTTCTGGATTTAATGTATCCCCTGCGGGTTTCGAACCCACACACCTTGGTTTCCCATGCCAAGGCGCTACCAGGTGGCCGCATTAACCATTCGGCCACTGAGGCACCATTGCTGAACTGTAAAGCTTAATATAATAATGAAATCACTGTGAAATCATTGTAAACAAGTTATAAATAGAAAAAGATCATTATTATATTAATAATATCACTGATTTCTATCTCTTTAACTACTAACTTAAAAAAAAAAATATCTTCTTCACTGATATTAATAATCTCTAATAACTTAATTTCTTATAGATTTTCTGTATTATTTTCTATTCTTTTTCATTATTCTCTATCATCTGTATGTGATTCAAAGGTTGCTTAAGTCAGCGTACAATTACAGGCGTACACTGGCTTCTTATATATTGAATCTTGTACACTAAATTAATTAGTGACTACTAGAGTTCTCTTTACATTCATATACTAGTAGTTTGAAAGTGACTGTGTTATTATCTAACAGTTATACATTCTTCTGAATCACATTCTCTCTCATCAGATTCAGTCACACTCATATAATCATATTATACACTCTAGCTTTATGTAGATTAGCTCATTACTAGTGTTTCACAATTGTATAATCTATCTCTGATTTAGCTAGCATCTCACATACACTCTCACAAAGAAACTTTCACTATATTACATTACTTATTTACTAACTTTTCTCATTCTTCAATTATTATCTTTATTATTATTATTATTGAATATTATTATCTTATTTAAGATTTCTATCTCTTCTTCTGTTTAACTCTTTTCATCTGTTTATCTATTATATTATACATGTTTCTGATAATAACTCTCTATTCTTATAACAAGTATTCTCATAGTACTCATATCAGGCAGTTTATTAGCAGTAAGTGTAACATGTTATGAAATATGATCAGAACTTGTTTATCTTCTAACAATTGTCAGAACATACTATCATGAATAACATATCTTCTTTATTTTCTTATACACTCTCTTCATCTTCTTATATATTCTCAACTGTTTCTCTTCTCAGCAGGTTTCTAATTGTGTTTTCTGACATGATTTTACAGAGATGTAGATACTGATATATTGTTTTTATTCATGTAGAATTCTCATACATTGACAGATTCATATCTGTCAATAATAGTGAACTCAATGTTGAATCATTGATTGAGAACCTGAAGAATGTAATAATAAAGAAATTGCTTATACTATGTATAATCAGATCTTCTATGTTCTCTTCTGTCTCTTCTACTACTACTTTTCAATCTTCTATATCTATCTCTGTATCTGATTCTCCTGCTTCTACTACCTCTGTTTCTGTGACTCTCACTTTTGCTACTTCTGATTTTATCATCTCTGCTTTCATTATCAGCTCTCTCTGTTTCAAGAAGATATTGTGTAGACTGATGAATTATATTTCTCAGTATATACACTTCTACTCTTCTTACTAATCTCTAGAATGATTTATTGTACAAAGATAGTATATAACATAACTATCTAAAGTTCAGTCACAGACACTAATTATTATGTTTATTTTAAATATTTATAGTGAGATAATTGTCTATTCATTTCAGAGAATCACTCTCTTTCTTAACAGTGTTGAGATTGTAAGTTTTTTTCTTTTTCATCTTTTTCTTTCTAATACTGATTTTTCTGTTCTTAGAAGAAATTGTTATTAATTTTACTATGTATGAAATTGTAATATTCATAGATATTAAGAAACTTTTTATAACTATAAAGTTTAATATTACAGAAATATTCACTCTGATGAATTTCTTCAGAATAATAGATCTGTATCAGTCTATTCTCTGATATCTATTATCTGACTTTATGATGCAGATAAAAGATATTCATATTTTTAGAAATAAGAATACAGATATTGTACTCTTTTACATCTATAGATATAAGACTCATACATCTTGTCTGAAATATTGTTATAAGAATGAGCTGTTCATATACTGTATTCTGCTTTCTGTATTTCTCTGTATCTTTCTCTCTCTTTCTGAGAAGTCTCATATGTATTGTAATTATGCATATAATTCTAAGATCAGTAAGTGTTTATTCAGTAATTATTATCTCTGTTTTTGCAGTTTTGTACACTAATAATAGTTCTTAGTTACTTCAGTGTCAGAGATTATTTTAATTGAAGATGATAATATCACTGAAACTACTCTCTCTCATCTTCAAGCTTCTTCTATTACTTTCTCTCTCTTCTCTGCAGAGAAGATTGTGTATACACTGAATTGTAAGTGTTCAGTCTCAGATAACTTCTACTATTATTTATCTGATTCTATGTCTTCTTCTTCTTCTATTTCTTCTGTCTTCACTCTCTCTGCTCTGACTTCTAATTCTGCAGATTCTGTGCTCTTCTTCAATTTCTCTATATATATATGTATGCATTTCTATATTGACATTTCAGCTAATCTTGTGATAAATGACATTAATGTTGTATGCAGAGTGATAGAGAAATTAGAGATATGTATAATATTATTATAAGAGTAACTTACAGCTCTCAAATCTCTTGCAGATCTCAAGTTTTGAGATTTTCTTTGTTTTTGACATTTTTCAGATGATGTTGCATTGGAAATAGATTAAATATATAATATATGAAAATGAATGAGATGTGTATAATAATATTTGTCTTTTACAGCTGACTCTTACAGTTGATAATCAATTCATTATCTCTTTTCTTACACTTTTTCTTTATCTGCTAGTTACTACTCTTACATGATCTCTATATAATACAGTGTTCAGTGACTAGGTTCAGCAGCTTTCATCTTTTATAGTTCTGTCTTATATATTATACTGTCTCTCTTCACTCACTCAGATCACTACAGTGAATAGCTCATTGAAACTAATCTTATCTGATCTCTGAGCATTCTCAGAGATTAAGATAACTTAATCTTATATATTCACAGATGTTTCAGATAGTTCATTCTCTGTGATCTCTGTAATTAAACTAATATAAACAGTTGAATTCAACTCTGAATTTCTTTTTCTTCTGTAATCTGACTCATGTACAAGTCTGCTGCTTTGAGACTGCTCTTTACTGTGTTACACTTGCTATCTGTAATATATTATCATATAACCAGCTACAGTCTCATTACTTATTAAAGTGTGATGTTCATCTGATTTCTTCATTACTTCTCATTCTTTCCTTATAATCATGAAAAGATTGAAATAAGTGAGATTATCTAGTTTGTAAGTGTCTATGATTTCTCTTATCTCATGAGACTTTTCAATTATAAGTTTCTTCTTTTTCAATACTGATGATAGTGCTGTAGATGACTATAATCTACTCAGATCTTGCATCTTTACTTTTATAAGTTATAAATCATTGATTAAGTTGTGTAAGATCTGTCTCTCTGATTCTTTCAATGCATATATTCTCAGAAAATGTGATTTGAGTATCTTATATAACTCAAATTATCTAGATTGAAACTTCTCAGAACTCTCATTGTATATGAGAACTTACATTCTTATCTTGAGACTTGATTTCTTAATAAGTGAGTCTTGTATTCTTTTTGACTGAATTGCTCAGTTCAGAAGTAACTCATTAGTTTTTGCATATATGTGACTGATTTCTTTCAATCTTGATTCTGTGTTCATGACTGTTGCATCTGCAACTGCTACTGCTGCATCTGTAACTGCTGTTTCTGCTGCATCTGCAACTGTTATATTCATGTCTGTTGTGTCTGTGACTGTTGTGTCTGCAACTGCTGTTCTCTCTCACACCTTTTTCAAAGCATTCTCCGGGATGCGCGGATGTAATTCATACAACAGGTAGAATGATGAATGCTTGAAAACTGCATACTATCAAATTCATGTGATCAATAGTGCCTGCCTGAGATATTCATTTCATAGTCTCATAGACTTGTTCACTAGATATTTTATTAGCATATTGTCTAAGATTTCATTCAAGTATTTCATCTTCCTGTTTATCTGTGAATGATATAATGTTATTCTATGATGTCTTGTCTGTAACTGGCTCATGAAATGCCTCACTACTTCTCTCACAAGGTTCATACTATTATCAGTTAGAATCTCACGCGGCATTTCATAGTTGATATAGATCTCATTATATAGAAACTTCACTACTATCTTCTCTATTATCTCTGAAACTGCTTTTATAACTGGTCAGTCAGTAGTGTAATCAATAGCAGTGATTATTCATTGATTTTCATTTAACATTTATAATAATATGTCTATGAGATTCATCTTTCATTATTTGAATAATTGTATTATACACTTCATCTGATGTTGCACTTTCTTACATTTCAATCCTTTCTTAGATTCTTTCATAACCTGATAATTCAGGCACTTGTAAGTGTATGTCTGAATGTTCTTAGTCATACTTGATCAGTATACTCTTGATTTGAGTACACTCATGAGTTCAGGGCTTTCTAAGTGACTGAATTCCTTGTACATATAAGTCACTAAGTCATGTTTAAATAAAGATTCTAGATAGAGAGCTTCTATGTATTCTAGATCATGATAAAGTATAATGTCATTTTTCAATTTTCTCAGCTTGAAGTTCAGAAGCATCTCTTCTACTACTTTTACAAGATGCTTATCATCTGACATCTTGTCATTCTTCAAGTGAGAGATTATAACAT